CTGGCGCATGCGCACCACCACTAAAAAATTCTGGCAGTGTCCGTATCTAGGTTTCATGGGGTTTCCTTTCCAGCTAATCTAGCTCAATTTTGGGGTGCCTTTCAAATGACCCCACTGACCACACCCACCAGCGGCTGCCTGCCAGACTTACATTTCCTTACATGGGTATGTACACGAATCATTGCTATATGCATGAAAATTGGTTTCCTTTCCAGCTAATCTAGCTCAATTTTGGGGTGCCTTTCAAATGACCCCACTGACCACACCCACCAGCGGCTGCCTGCCAGACTTACATTTCCTTACATGGGTATGTACACGAATCATTGCTATATGCATGAAAATTGGTTTCCTTTCCAGCTAGGCTGACCCCCCTGGGCTCCCGGTCTATTGGTTGGCGCTACGGTTAATGTCTCACCCAGCGATTACGTGGATTAAACTACACCGAAAGTAACTTATTCTGATAAAAGGTGGCGCTGCGATATGTCGCTGCGGTTGATAAGAACTTCCGGGATTCGATCGTTTCTGACCATACCTGTGTAACCATCGGTTTAACTCACAATTTAGTGCCCGCCAGCTGAGGTAAGCAGATACTATTTATTTAGTTATAAGAGCTACTGTATAAGTTACATCTTAGCATATTCATAGCTCCATACCTTACGTAAATTTTACCTTTCTATGCGGTGAATGTCGCATTGAGGTGCTACTATCTGCAAACGTATTTCTAACCTTTAGAAAGTCAACATTGTTGACGATCCACCTATGACCTAACTCACAGTAGATGCACTAACGTAGCACTACAAACCACTTTGCAGGGCTGCGCTATCTATCGTATTTAACTTCACAAGAGCTTAAGACGAATTTCTTTTCTTTTAATGCGTGTATAATGTATGACTATTACTATTAGCACTTTATGCTGTAGTCCGAGTTTCCTCTGACCACAGGCCCTTGGACCAAGCCGGGCTTGGAGGCTCAAGTTTCAAGAAGAGTATAAGACTAAGCGGTGAAGTAGTAACACCGCTTCGCTCTTAATATAGTCTTATACTCTTCTTGAAACTTGAGCCTCCAAGGGCCTGTGCTCTGACCAATGCCCACACCGACGATTTTGATGGATTTGGCGAGGTTTAGGGTTAGAGCTATAACCACACCAAGGTAGGTCTAACCTAGCTCTAGTACTATAACCCCCTCATTAACTGCCGCAGGGCTATAGAACATTTTCAATTAGATTTCGCAGCTGCACTTGGTTCCGACTGGTTCCACGAAAAATGGCGCAGAAAAAGCAATATGATCGGTCTTTTTAACACTTATTTATCTACATGAACATCTCACCTATCTTTTTGAACACTTTCCACAACTTTACACCATGTATTTATGCATTTATTCCTAAAAGGCAGCACTTCTGGCAAATCCGTTTGAAATTGATGTGTCGTGCGAACACGTGACGTCACCGGATATGTAGGCAAAACACATGGCAGCTATGGTGCATGTATATACATAGCATATACATACGTCACGCGTGCGCACGCCACATCATTTCAAACGGATTTGCCAGAAGTGCTGCCTTTTAGGAATAAATGCATAAATACATGGTGTAAAGTTGTGGAAAGTGTTCAAAAAGATAGGTGAGATGTCCATGTACATAAATAAGTGTTAAAAAGCCTGATCATTTTGCGTTTTCTGAAACATTTTTCGTGGAACCAGTCGGGACCAAGTGCAGAGCTCTGCGAAATCTAGTTGAAAATGTTCTATAGCCCTGCGGCAGTTAATGAACGCGGGCTATAGTACTAGAGCTAGGCCTAACCCACACCAAATCCACCAAAATCGTCAGTGTGTGCATTGGTCAGAGGAAACTCGGACTATTTATGCTGATGTGCTCAGACAGATACTGTCAAACAGGGCACATAATATATGCAGAACTGGAAATGCTATAGACAGGGGAATTAATAATAATACATGGTAATGCAGTTTACCTTTCTGGTATATGTATTAACTTGCTGCTAGCTTGTAGAGGCGGTGTGCGACTAATGACATCTATACATGATAGTATTTGGTCGTTTCTCAGAGATACCTTGTTACGAATGCTGCAACCCATTTGAAATTGTAAAACAGATAATTTCAACTTCTAGCTGATAGAAAAACATCGTAAATCATGTAGGTTAACGCCCTAGGTTACAAATTGCATTGCTCGGCTCAAAGTTGAAATTGTTTGTTTTACAGTTTTAGCCCGTCATCGCTTCCAGTTGCAACACTTTCCTTGGCCTTCCTTAGACGAGTGTGCAGTGTGGACACTAACCGATAAAATCATCCGTATATCCACTGACCTGCGGGCGACTATTTGCGCGTATAAACACCACGTGGCCTGTAAGCTACCCTCACGCGATACACGCAATCATAAAGTCTAAAGTCTAGAGTGTAAGGTAGCGTTGCACTGGTCGTCCAACCACTGAGCAGGGCGTCGCCGCACGAAACTCACACCATCCCACGCCAACTCTAGCCGTCGACGCCGCCAGCAACGCCGCCAGCAACGCCGCACCATGGAGCAATTTACGGGCAAGTGGAAGCAGGAGCGTGCGGAAAACCTGGACGAGTACCTGACGGCGCGCGGCGTACCGTGGATCGCGCGCAAGGCGGCGACCGTGTCTTCGCTGCACATGGAGGTCGAGGGAAAGCCGGACGACACGTGGCGACTCTACCAGTACACGACGCTCCGCACGATCATGGACGTCACGTTCACGCCCGGCAAGGAGTTCGACTTCAAGCGCATGGATGGCATCGAGTGCAAGGTGACGTTCCGCGTAGATGGAATGAAGCTGCTGCAGGACACGCGTGAGGCAGATGGCTCCATCGATGTCATCAAGCGCGAGCTGATGGCGGACGGGAGCCTCGTGCAGACGCTGTCTTGTAAGGACGTCGTCTGCAAGCGATACTTCACGAAGGTGTGATGGCATGCGGGCGTCCATGTTGGATCCAGGCAGCCATGTTGGATCCAGGCATCCAAGTTGGATCCAGTCATCTGGTCTGAATCTTAGAGCGTAGAAAACCAACCATGCAGGCACTAATGAAACGCAGCATATATAATGCTCTGCATGTAAACTTGAACGTATACAATGAATTTGAAAATGTGCGAATACGTGTAACAAATGTATGTTGTGTAAGGGTTAGGGTTAGGCACTGTCAGAAGTAACTTTGATTACGATTCATCCAGAGGTTGTTTGTAACTGCCGTTTGTCGGATGTGGTATTGGTTGTTAGAGTAATAGATACATTGGCCTTGCTATCACCTGGTTATATAATTCAAGCTGTAACTGATCTTTCATAAAGTGAAGACTGAACAAATACTTGGTCGTACCTTAATTGTAGAGTGTACTCTTGCTTATAAGTAGAGATTGAACAAATACTAGTCGTGCTCTAGTCTCTTCAGAATCGGCACTGTGGGTGAAGTGGGTTAACAATCGCGTGCAGGTACTTTTTGTACTGAAGCATTCTGTGGTTCGCTATTGTTCAGAAAAGAGCTCAATTGAGCTCATTTCAGCATGGACAACTATTGCTTAGAGCTGTCTGACTAAATGTGGTGCCCCTGCAATTCTATACCCTTGAAGTGTTCTTTAGTGAAATCATGTGGACTGAGTGCATGCTGATTTGGTAAAATCTGTCTATTAAAAATCACTATAAATATTGCAAACGTAGTAAATCGTCTATCTCTGTATCAGATGTTCGAAGGTTGGCTTTTAAATTTGAGGTTAGATTCGGAGATGGGCCTGCTTTGCTGCTGATGATTGAAAGGTGGGTTGGCAACTTGTTACATGATATCGCAATACAAATGATAGAGGGAAATTGAACATCAATTGCGGGTACCACCGATGATTCGTTCAAAGGGTTGTTGTCTTTGAAACGGGTTCACAAAGGGAAATATCTTAAGCATGGAAGCATCTGAGTTAAGCATGGGAGGGTATGGCTGCTGAAGATAAATGTTGACAATGTACAATGCATTCACTAGCTACAGCTACAGGGTCATATCTGCCAGCACACTGCATCTTTACATGTACACATATATATACTAGAGGCACTACGGAGTGCATACCTCCGCTAACTAAAGTAACACTATAGTAGAACATTATCTATATTATGACACTATTGATAATATTAATGGACCTACCAATCCAGCTTTAGACTTATCTATGAGTGACTTAGCTAGGCAGAGTGCACTGACGGAGTGCATATGTGTTAGGAGCTGGCTCGCTGCGCTGGCTGGCTGGCTAATATCGATCGCGCGAACACACGAACACACGAACACTAGACTGGTACCCGGTCCCACCTCTCGGCTTAGTTACTCGATGGGGGAATCGAGGTGGGAGCGAGTACCAGTCTAACGCGAACACTCGAGAGCGAAAACATAACCTCCTCCAACTCCATTGGACAGAGGTAATAACGGTATATCCCTTTCCCTCCAGGATCTTCTTTATGCCTCGCAGTAACAAGTAATACAGGTCATTTATCTCTCTCTCTCTCTCTCTCTCTCTCTCTCCCTCTCTCTCTCTCTCTCTCTCTCTCTCTCTCTCTCTCTCTCTCTTCTCTCTCTCTCTCTCTCTCTCTCTTCTTTCTTCTCTCTCTCTCTCTTCCTCGTTCTCTCTCTTCTTTCTCTCTCCTCTCTTCTCTCTCTCTCTCTCTCGATCTCTCTCTCTCCCTCTCTTTCTCTCGCTCTCTCTCTCTCTATCTCTTTCTCTCTCTCTCTCCCTACCTCCTTCCATCCACCATCCTTCTTCTATCTCTCTCTTCTCTCTCTTCCCTTCTCTTTCTCTCTCTCT